GTGGGTCGGCGGGCCCACAAGGCCGGCCTGCTGCAGCCTTGGAAACTTGCACCGGGGTTGGAGTCCTGGATTCAGGACCGATTTGGCCTTCATCGCACCAAGAGAGCATTTTGAGCATCCTCATGGGCGATGGCCGTTGTAATCGGTGTCCGGTCGTACGATCTCGGCAAAGCTTCTGAACAATGCACTTATTCTTTCTTCGTGCCCAACACATCCTGCACCCCTCATGCTCCCGGATATTCCCAGCCTCCACAACGAAAACCCCAAGCCAGCACACTTAAAGCTTCGGGGGGCGTAGTAAGTAGGCTCGACGCAGCATACATCTAACCCCAGACATGACTGATGTTTACTCATTTCCATCATCCCTACCTATCGGTTCGATGCTTAGGCATGCCGGCAGCCTGGAAGACGCAGCTCTCCTGACTGCCCTCCACACTGCGGACACTTGGTATAGAGGTTGGAAAGATGTCAGAGGAACCTTGAGCTTGCATCGAACTTCTTCGTTTGGGGAAGGCTGCGTTGATCGTATAGCACGCGAGAGGGATGGTTCACTAAACATCATTCCTTGGAAGTCGAAGTAGGTGTCCTTCTGAATGCATTCGATATCATGGTTCTTCCAGGCTCCATGTGCCAAGATGAAGTTGTTGGCAAAATGCCAGTGCAGGGACGTACAGCATCTAAGGACCGCCAAACCCGCCATGTGGGCAGTGGTGTGGTGGAGGAGTTTAGGTCTGCGGGCCTCGCTCTGTGGGCAAGCCGCAGAGCTTGGCAGCTGCGGCCGGGAAGCCGGGATGGGGGCGGCTGGCTGGGAGTACAGGGTTTTGGTTTTCCTGTTGCTTTGCAGCTCGGGCCGTCGTCGATCTTCGTGGTGTTGCGGTGTAGTCGTGGTGTGCGGACGGCCCGGAGACTTTGAGACACAAAACAAGCGCGTCGAAATTGCAAGATGCAACACGCACTCCCGAGAACATTTTAGGTTGGGACCCACACGGGAGTGGCTGGTTCCGAAAACCCAACACTCACAACTCATCGCAACCATGACGATGCCGACGAAGCTGATGTGGCTGATGATATGTTTGATGTTGCGGACACTGCTAGTGCTACGCGTAGTAGTAGCTGTAGTAGTAGTCGTCGTCGTCCTCCTCCTCCTCGTCGTCGTCATCGTCGTCGTCGTACTAGTAGCTCTAGTAGTAGCAATCGTAGCAGTAATAAATAGTGATAGCCATAGCAACAGTAGGAGCAATAGTAGCAGTAGGAGCAGCAGGAGCAGTAGAGCAATAGGAGCAGCAGTAGGCAGTAGCAGTAGGAGTAGTAGGAGTAGTCGTAGTAGTCGTAGTAGTCGTAGTAGTCGTAGCAGTAGTAGTAGTAGTAGTCGTCGTCGTCGTCGTCGTAGTAGTAGTAGTAGTAGCAGCAGCAGCATACACGCCGAGAAGATATTTGACGCTGGGTGTGGCGGCTTCAGCACATCCAAAAATATGTGGAAATGCAGTTCGAGAAGCATCTTTAGGCATTCAGTTCTTCACCAAATCTTTTCGGACAACCCTTGGCTGCTCAAACTCCTCCGTAGTCCCCTCTATCAGGAAGCCTCTTTAATGGAAACCCGGGACTAAGAAAAAAAACTCCCCAACTGAAAACCCTTTCACGACTAGAAAGTTTCAAAAGCACGGCAAGCCGAGCCAAACTTGTTCAAGCGAAAACCTTCCTAAAACCCTTTCAAACAGCAAACCCTCAGCAGGAAAAACCCAACACGTCCCAAAAGCTGAGACCCGCCATTCCAAAGGCAAGACATGGTAAATAAGACAAACAAGCAGCGTCAAATATCAGCTCGGTAGCAGCAGGTACTAGTACTAGTACGCGTACGAGGGGCTGAAGCTACTGCTGCTGATGCTGCTAGTGCTAGTAGTGGTGGTAGTATTCGTGGCCGGCGTCGTGGGTCGTGGTGGTGGTCTCGTGGTCGTGGTCGCGGTGGTGGGTCGTCGGCTTCGATTTCGGCAACTTCGTCGTTGCCGTCTTCGTAGTGTTTGGTGATGACGGCCATCGTCGTCGCGATGACAGCGAAAATTGTGAGAAGCGCTGGGTTCTTGGCAACCAGTCATTCCGTGTGGGATGCCCGCTAACCACTGGGCGGATTCCTGGTGGCAGTCACTCAGGTGTTATAAGGTGAGGTCATCAAGCCGCCCAAGCGAAAGCGAGAAGACATCCGGCCAGCCCGTGGATGGATGGTTCAAATTGCAGAACCAGTGCTCAACTAGAAGGCTTTTCCAGCAGTTGAACACCCTGGAGGGACAACCGTAAGAACTCAAAGGAATCCAGCAGACCTGAGCTGCCGGAAATGGGGGCTTGCAGCGCACCTGACATCGCCTTCTACAAACTGGTTTCGATGCTCGCAGAATGCATGTCGATTTGGCCCGCCGCGATGGAGTTGTTGTGGAACCTCTGACTTGCTGTTGGAGGTCTTCCTGTGTCGTGCTGTCCGGGGTGCCTTGACGTTTGGGTTTGGCTGGCTGGCTTGTGACTTCCGACTGGCCTGGATAAAGCTTGATTCGCATCTTTGGACAGGAGCCTGTCGGCCCGCGTCTCGACCAGTTCTTTTTCAACATGCAACAGCTGCCACCGGCGACTCGGACTCAGCAGCAGCATCCCTAATAAGAATGTGTTATGATAGTAGACCCCCAAATCCCATGTTATGTAGTTATGTATTCATGCCCCCGATATGAAACTTTTTTTACCCCTTGGAACCATATCGAACCCAATGCTACCCTATGTAACTTGTTTGCAACTCCTATGTTACACCAGTGTTTTCGCAAGGAGCTCCCGGCGCCATCCTCACCTCCACCGGAGAAGGTCTTTCTCTGTGCCGTCCCCCAGGTCTGGGAATCTTCACAGGGATGATATTGCTGCTACTGTTGTGGCTGATATTTTCTCAGGAAGTAATTAATATCATGCATATTCTAATCGATCTGATTATCACTGTCACTACGGATTACTGTGCTTCTTCGTACTGTTGATCTTGTTTTCCCTGTCCAGCATGGCTTGGGGACGTGTTGCTTTAGGGCTAGGAAGGGGGTGAATTCAGGGCCAAAGACTACGTATATTTCAGGTGTGAGGTCTGGGCGGATATATCTAGAACTTGGGTCTAGGGGAAGCTTGGGTTTGGTTGATATTCGCAAGATGTTGGCGGGTAGGAGACTCAAGTTGAAGCCCCAAAGCCTTAAGCCTTAAGCCCCAAAGCCTTGCCGCAAAACCCAAAACCCTGAAGCCCCAAAGGCCTCGACTTTTGGATGACCTATGGGGCTGGTTTTTTTGAGAACCCCTCTCTCCGGATCACCCCAGCTCCTTATGCATCAGCCGTCAACTGCGCAAACCCCTAGAACCCTGAATCCAAAATCCTCCAGCAACAACACCTCTTGAACCGGCTTTCAACCGGTTGAGAGTTGAGGGCTTATGGTTGCCTTTCGCGAGTTTCGATCTTTCCGGACAACCACGATCCGTCCCCTGAGCTCTACCCTGAAACCCCAACAAGTTAAGCATTGGAAATCATGAGTTTGAAATTGTAAGCAGTTTTAGGACTAGGGTTTATGGTGACCATAGAAACATAAGACCAAAACTACTACTCGATAGTAATATTCCTTTGAACTGAGAACAGACACAAACATTCCGAGATCTCCCTGCGAACCCGGCAGCTCTCGTGCTCTTTTCTCTTTGATTGAGCAGTGGCTTACTGCCTTTTCGAGGTAAGTTTATGGTTCAGCATGTTGTCTAGGGTTTCGGACCTATGAGTTACGACTTGGATTCTGGGTTTGCAGTTTGCGCGATGTTTTTGTTATGCTTCAGGCAAGACGTCAGGACGCCAGGTCTTGAAAGTGTCCGTCCAAGAAACCATGTTTCGACGAACCCAGACTCCCAAATCCTGCATTCTAAGTCTAAGTCCCAGGACCCTATCACCCCAGAACCCGAGACCTCCCAAATGTATAAACCCTACGGGCTAAAACCTTCAACCCTAAACCTCAAGCAAAAGTTCTAAACTGTGAGCCCCAAAACCCACAACAGTAAATCTTTTCACAATCCTACATCTCTCGATGTACGCTAAACCCTAAGCCCGATCCTTCCCGGACTTTCCAGCCTCAAACCCTAAAGCCCCCTAAAGCCCCTACCCCCGATCGTCCAACCCACAACCCTTTTCAGGTGGTATCCTGGCCTTCCTTTCCGCGCATCGGCAGCGCAGCCGAGATGGCCGAGCCAGGCATTTAGGGTTTAGAGCTTCGGGCTTCGAGGCTTTAGGGACAACGAATGATAACTAAATTTATGCGTAAACTCCTTAAGCCCTAAACCCCTAAACCCTCCCTAAGCCCTAACCCCTTTAAACCCCTAAACCCTAACTAACCCCCTTAAACAAGCCCCTTAAACCCCAAACCCCTAAGCCCCGGTCGATGACGGTTTTCTGCCAGGCCTCGAGCGCAGCCCAAAGGGGTCAGTGCGGAGGGCCATCAAAGTGAGCACGGCGGAGGCCCAAGGGTTCAAAAAGGGTTCAAAATGGGGTTTGGGGGTTAGGGTTGAAGGCCCAAGGGGTTCAAAAAGGGTTTCGGGGTTAGGGTTTACGGCCCAAGGGGTTCAAAGAGGGTTTAGGGTTGAGGGTTCGATATTGAACTTTTCATCTGGGTTTAGGGCTCGGGGAGTTTTTGATCGGGGCCTAGGCCCAGGCTTCGATGATGAGCTTCTGGTTGGGTCTTGTAATTGGGTTGAGAGGAGTTCTAATCATAATGGTTCTGATAGGGATTAAGGTTTAGGCCCAGACTCTAGTGGCTTTGATTGGTGTTGATAAGTGGGTAGGTGGGAGTTCTAGATGGGTTTGTTGGGGTTCTATAATTGCGTTGATAGGGGAGTTTTAATGGTCGTGATAGGGGCGTGATCGTGGTCTTATAGTTGAGGGTCGCTGAGGCCCAGGGTTTCGGGCTCCAGGATCACATCATTTGGGGTTGAGGGTATAAGTGTGACTTGCGCAGGCTGCCCGAGCTGTGGCAACGCCCACGGCGAAGCCGGTGGCAACGCCTGTGGCAGCTGCGCCGGTGGCTATGCGACACCGGGTCGTCATCAACCAGCTGCCTCAGAAGTTCATGCCCCACCCTTGCACGGCCAGCAGTGAGCAGGCGCCTTGTCTCTTAGAGCGTTCACCGTTAGGTTACCACTGCATGGCACATTGCACATGTTAAGGATGCCGCCTCATCCCAGCCTCCTTAGGCTGTGCTTCGGGCCCATGTGTCGGGCAATAGCATCAACTCGGTGCATGTCAATCGTGCGGGGCTGCAACCTCCCAGTGGTCAACCTGCGGTGATTGTGCGACACCTGCCAGCGGCCCGAGTTCTAGCGCCGGCATCAGGCTACAGCACGCTGGCTCAGAAGTATGCCCCCGTGCTTTCACACAGGGGTCGGAATAATTCGTAATATTCCTCCCTTATTATAATAAAGTCCAAATCTAGCTGTACTGCCCCAAAGCCTTAATTCATTCCAACTATTACGGCCCTTCTTCCACAGGTCACTCCGGAGCGTGGACGACCCTGCAGCGGCCGCTTTTGCAAACAGCATCGGCCTCGTTTAGCGCTCCGCTCCTCAGCCGCAGAGCCCCATCGCCGTAAGCTACCTACAGGCTCCATGGTAGTTGCTTTTTGTGGTTTTGTTTAGGATCCTACAAGGGAAACCCCCAAAAGGAACTACAATGGAGCTTGTGGGTATAGCAATATCATACTCGTAGTGTAAGTTATACTTTAACTGCATGTGTCTATGTAAGGTATCATTGCATTGCTATAGTCTTGTTACGCTTCATTACAGTATTACTATGGTCTTGATTGGGTTTGGTTTTATATCGGCTTTGTTGTCGTATTATTGTGGTATTGGTACTTCTAGGGTTTCTGCTCCTTCAGTAGCAACAATGATGACAATTATTGCTGTCATGATAACCACGTCCATATAAGATCTGGCAAGGCTGCCCCACTCACCGTGTAGTCACGGCCTCAAGGCATGTCCGTTCTACAACGGACGCACCCCTGAATCCTAAGCCTAAAATGCAATCCTAAGACTGAACCCCAAACCATAATCCATCCGAAGCCCTAAACCCTAAAGCAAGCCAAATCCCGTAAAGGCCCTACACCGCAGAGCACCACGGGCCTAATGCCCTTAAATCCCAGACCCCTAAACCAACCTGAGGCCGAAAACCTAGACCCTAACGGCTAGACCCTGAAACAACCCTCAGCGCAGCCCTAAAACCAAAGCCTCAAGCGCCAGCCTAAACCTCCAAACCTAAACCTGTGCCCTAAAGCCCTAAACCCTAAATCCCAAAACCTCCAAACCTAAACCTGTGCCCTAAAGCCCTAAACCCCAAAGCCTCCAAACCTAAGCCTAAGCTGTCCGCTTTTAAGCCGAGGACTCGCGTGCTGCATCGCCTTACAAGCCCGGCCAAATCCATTGCGCTGCGGAGAAGCGCTCGGTGAGCCTCGGGTCCCTGAGGATATCAGACTTTAGAGAGCAGTGCTTATGCATTATTAGGGTTTAGGGTCCTGAGGATTTTAGATTCTTATACTCAGAGAGCAGTACTTATGTATTATTAGGGTTTATAGGGTCTAAGGTTTAGGGTACTTATGACTGTGGGTAATAGCAGCAGTTTCTAAGAACGAGCGTGCTGACTCTATGGGGCTATGGACATGCATAGCTGTATTGGATACAAAACATGTATGGTCGACCTTCCGTAAAGCGGGCTGGCTGCCGGGAGGGTTCCCCGGTTTGAGTACTCACACTGCATGACTCTTTGCTGGAGTGTCTACAGTCGGAGAAGGGGGGGTGAGATGTCCGGTCTGCAATGCCATTCTGGACACTGCCCGCTTTTCAAAAGCTTGGCATGACAGCTTGAAAGCAAGCTCTTGTGGTTCCTTCCGGAATTCTGTTAGCAGTGACGCATGCCCTTGCATGGATCCTTCGAGCTGCCTTGTTGCTGTCTTCGATGTGTCAGCCATTTTCAGGACTAGCTGGCAGTCGCTCCGCTACTCCGTTTTAAAGTTTTACTACTGAAGCAATGTTCACAATGAAGCTATCGGCGTGGCTTCTACTTCCCTCTGCCGTGATCTGGTGCTGGGCTGAGAGTTCAGACATGAGTGGCGGAAGGGACGTGCCCACTTGAAGCTTCAGCAGTAGAAGGGCCCCGCCACTGCCAGGGGGCTTTCAAATCTAGTCACGGCGGTGAAGTTCACGCAGGCAAGGCATCTGTTCCCTCCCATTCGGCATTCTGGCCTGACTTGCTGGTTCTTTTGCTTCAGTTGTCGGTTTCTGCCCAACGCAGGACTCAACCGCTGGCGGTGGGCTCCAGTTGGAGCACAGCGCCAACGAGTCACTTCTTTCGGTCCGCGCGGGCGCGGTCGGTCATCTCCAGTCCGAGAACAGCGTCAACGAGTCACTCTCGACCGCTTTGATCCTTCGTTCCTCGCGAGTAGCCGAGGATTCCAATTTTTCGGATCAGGACCTGGATGCTGTGGTGTCTGCCAAGATCTTCCACGACATTGGCGACAACTTCGCGAAAGTTGCAAACTCGCTCAAGGCCGCGGGCTTGGAAGTGGGGAAAGCAGCCGCCAATGCAGCCATGGTGGCACCTTAGCTGCTCTCGACAGGTCTGAGTCTGGGGTGTTCCTTTAAGGTGACGGTACTTCATGTTCATCAGTTCTCCGAGAAGGGGACGCCTGCATGGGTGGAACGCTGTCGCATGATGGGGAAGCGGGAAGTGTTGGGGAACTGTTGCTACAATTCCCTGGTAAGCTCAGGAACAGTCATCACTTGGCACTTGGATTAACATCCTGTCAGCGCCCAGGTAGGGGACCATGTCATCGAAGCCGCGATGACCAAATTTGATGCCTTACAGGGGCCCATCAAAGATGCCGCCAACAGGATTGGCCAGCACGCCATCGCAATGGGTGAGGAGATCCAGGTGCTCGGGGGGCGGGTTCGACACCCGGTGTACCTTGCGCAGTAGCTACGAAGTTGAAGATAGCCTATATATACAACGCTTGAGCTGCACGAAACACAACTTTCCACATATCGGACCCATCGTCATCCCAGAAACCAACGATCTGCCAGCGTCTCCAGCTAGCTGGGGAGGGGGGGGCTGGGGGGATGTAGAAAACGAAGTCTCCTGAAGCCTTCTAGGCTGCCGGGGAAGCGGTCGGCGAGGGCGTCGTGGATCTGGCTGGGGATGCTTTGGATCATGCACAGAAGTTCGCCGCAGAAGGAGAGTTTGATCGTACTCTGAGTTGTTTAGGGTTTGTAGGGGTCAGAGGTTTAGGAAGTTCAGGGCCATAATACAGGGGCCTTAATAGTTAGAATAGGGTTTCGGCGCCCATTGAGTACAGGTAATTATTCAGGCCCCTACATTAGGCTTGAGCTCTGAACCTTTACGAAGACTGGCAGCCTTCCCTCGCAATGTTCCATGCTACTTGTACGCCCCACGAAGGGCCGTACCTGCTTCAAGCTCACGAAGTGAGCATGTGGTGTTCAGAGTTGATGACAGGGGACCCTCAACCCTGAAGCCTAAAGCCTAAAGCCTAGACCCTAAACCCTTACACCCCAAACCCTAAACCCGATCGCGTCGTTTGGCCGGCGAGTTTGTATCCAGCTTGGCCGGTTGGGCCTGGCAGCCTTCAGGGCACCCTACTACCCTAATACCCCAATACCCTGAAGCCCTACCTTAACCCCAAAGACTCAAAGAACCTACCATTTTAAGAACTTACATAAAGAAGCCAGAATAAGGAACCCTAAAAAGGTAGACTCTACATTTACGAGCCTGGAGGGTTGGGCCATTCTTGAGTCTTTGTCTTGGCGCAAGGAAGCCGAAGCCCCCTGACGTGTCCCTGCAACTCATCACTGTACGCGTAACCCCGTCTAAGCTTCGAAGACCCATACCGCCCCAAGGTTCCTAAAGCTTTGTTTGGTACCAAAGCCGGGTAACTCCGAAAATCCTTGCAGGAGCCAAGCTGGCCAACAAAGCCAAACAGGCCATCGAAAATGCGGCCGGGAGTTTTGCAGGCCTCTCGGCGCCCTGAACGTTGCCCGACACCGCCCAAATCCGCCCGACAGCGCCGTTCCCTCGTTCTCTGATTCATCCATTGTCCGGGCATGGAGAGCTTTTTAGGTGACAAAAGGGGGCCTAAATAATTAGCAGTGCTATTTTGGAGGCTCCTTACTATGGTTATATAGTATAACATACCCCCAAAACCCTCTTCTACTTATTAGGGGCCCTACATTAACCACAAGCTTCAGGTTGGGAGTATCTGGAGGACAAAGGTAATCTCGTCTACGGAGGTCCACGGAGTAGAAGAAGCGGGAATGAGATCCCCGAGCCGAAGCAAAGAAGCAAAATCTGCCGAGCCCAAAGCCCGACTTGGATCCTAAAGCAAAAATATCGGATCATGGCCTTTTATGGGTCTTGGGCCAGTATTTTACCATCATTTTACCCTCTTTTTGGGTGTTTAGGTAAGCCTAAAGCCACAAGAAAGTGCAGCCTTCTCAGACAAAATGGTGAAGCTCGGCCCGCTTGTGGCCGGATTGGCCGCAGAAGCCTGGTCGTAGCTCGGAGATGGATCATTCTCGCAGAATTTGGGTTCTGAATGTGTATTTGAGGCGCTTGATTTTCGGGAATCATGGTAACAATGCCTGTGCTCAAAATTTTGCTGTTCGGGTCGGGGCTCTCCGTTGAGGCGTCAGCTTCACTACATAATATGATATAACCTCCTGCTTTCAGCAAGATACGTCATGCGACTAGCATGTTGCCAAGACGGTCTTGCACTGCTCAACTCAAATCCACAGGGCCGGTCTCATTCGTCCCAAAGCAGCAAAGGCACATCGCGAAGTTCTGGGAATGCATGGATGCTACCGAATTGTTGTGTACAATTTTGATCGGCAACCATTGCGATTGCAGTCGCGGAAAAAGCAGCGTCAGCTTCAACAATGGGTTGACCGTGAAGTGCGTCATGAGCAAAACCGCCGATTTGTCCGGCGGCTTCGGTTTCTCAGCCAAGCCCGGAGAGATGTTCGGCGGGAAGTCGAAGAACGGCAAGCTGCAGCTCCCGACAGGAAAAGAAATCAAGCAGGAGTTTAGGGACATGACGAAGAAGCTGAAGAAGGATGCACGTAAGGCTTTGAAGCCCAGGACTTCGCAAGCTCCCACCGGAACTTGCGAGACAAGTATGGACTTGGCCTTCGATGGCCTTATGCAGGCAGACTTGACCATTGAGATGAGCACCAAGGGCAGCATCACAACGATGGGAATCTCGGGAACGGTCCGCGTCTCGCTGGACGGACTCGTGAAAGCCCAAGGAAGTTGCTCCCTGAATGCAGAGAAGTGGTTTCCGGAGAAGCCCAAGAAGAAGGTGATCTGCTACAAAGGCTTTTGCATCATCCTCCTGCTGCAGGGTGTCGCCGAGCTCGAGGTAAATGGAGTCCTCACGGGAACGCTCGACTTGGGTGCCGACGTCGACTTTGACATCTCCGGCTCGGTCACCGTGGACAAGACTACCGGCCATGCCGAAGCGAAGTTCGAGACTCCGAAAATCAAGCGGCAGGCGCGGGGAGCCTGGAAAAGGTTCACAGAAGGGTGCTGATCCGTCTTCGCCACGGTTCTTCCCTTCGCTGTGTTGCGGCTTTCACCTGCGAGGTGTCCTTCGGCCTTGGGGCGAGTGCCTTCGCGTCTGTGCGAGCGGGCGTGGGGCCGTTCATCACGGCTTCTCGGAACCACAGAGTTTGCGGTGGGTACCCTAATGTAGGCCCTGCGGCATTGAAGATTTCCTACCGGAGCTGCTGATTCGAAGCTCCGCAAGGTCTTTCCGGTCCCCGGCGTGCCCGTGAATTTCAATCCCATGCTGAACCTGGAAGCCAGGGCCCAGGGCGACATCAAGTTTGAACCGCCTCCGGAGAGCGTCTTCATGATCCAGGACTGCAGTCGATGGCCTTGCACGCCGTGTTTCAATGGAGAAGCTGACGATGGTGATGCCAGTGCCGGTCCTGGGGTCAGATATGTTGCCTGGGAGGGAGGATCAGGTGTGAGGCAAACATACGTAGAGACTGTAACGTTGCTCGTGGCAGAGGGATGCGATGTCGGCTTTGGCCTGATATGGCTTGGGGTTCATGGGCCGTAGTGCATCAAGCGTGCAGTTGCAAGTAGTTGCAAGAAGCAATCGCCGCCGAAGCTGCTACTTCACGGGGCGCCTGCTATGTTTCCTTGCCTTGGCTGTGGAGGTGGCAAAAGTCATGATAGTGGGGGGGGGGGGCGCAGGAGGTNNGGAGGTGACGGTGGGGGGGTGGTTGGTGGCAAAGGAAATGATGATCTCAAGAGTCCAACTTGAGATGATTTGCAGCAGAAGCAAATCCCAAAATCAGGGCAGAAGCCCAGTTGCCTGGATTCAGAAGGGCAAACAGCTCGAACCCCCAACCGATGACTCCTAAGCTGAGACAGCCGCAAGCCACAAGAAAAAGAAGCAAGAACGAGCCTTGCCTGCCACCGAAGCGCATGGAGGAAAATGAGTCGGCCACGCCTTCGTCAAGCCTGAGCATGCTGCAGGAAGCGGAGAGTCTCAGGGACCTTGTGGGTTGCTCCTACAGGCTGGTGTCGCATCACTCTTTTGTTGTAGCATCGGTTCCGGTGGTGGATCTCGACTAAACAATGGCAGGCTTCGATGAGTGCCTTAAGCAACGAATGAACCCTAAAAGGGCTCATGATTTATAATAGCAAAACTTTTTGCACCTAAGAATACATGTCATTAACGACGGTACTGACAGTAATAGTAACAATATTGTTATACTACTCGTCAGTTGTTGTTAGCAATAACTGTCAACCCCCCAATAATAATGTAGAAATGGTAAGAACAGCAGCAACCAATATAGCCAATGATTTAAGGGTAGTGATAGGAAGAATGACAATAATAGTTAATCATAATGCCGCCGCTACTGCTACTGCTACCGCTAC